GTTCTGAAATGTTAATTTGGACGCGAACTGTCCAAAATTATCCATGTAGGAGGAATGAGATACGAAACATGTAATTTAATCTCACATATTTTTATTTAATTTAATTTTTAGCGTATAGATGTATAGTAGTTTGGAGTTATGGAATAAATTACCTAGACAAAGCTCTAAATACGACACATGATGAACAATCCTAATGCATATTAAAACTATTTGCAGCAAAAATGTTGTTTTTACTTTAAACAACGAAACATTGTGTAATTAATTACAGGAAAATACAATAAAAATATTAACTGTAATGTGCACATCTTAAATGCAACTGAAATACTACTACAGCAGTTTAAAACCTTTGCACCACAAGAATAGCTTGGTAGTCTATAAGCCTAATATGAATAACTCTCTAGAACCTATTTACTATCAGTATAGTAACCGAACTCATGCCAATCCTGTAGTTTTATTTATCATGTACCGGTTTGTATGATTTGTATTTATCATGTGCTGAATTAGTTCAAATTCGTGGACTATATAATATAATTTACTAAAAGTCTTGTAATTTGCTTAAATTGATTTGTAGTCTTCGATTGGGCTGAATATGATATCGGATTGATCAAAATCGATGGCCACCGCAAAAAGCTTTATACATAGGCCTTCTGTAGATAATATGAAAAATTGACTCTGTAAAACAATACCCAACGCAATACCCAACAGCCATGAATATTTCAGAGACGCTAAAATCAACAAACACTTTTTGGAGTGGGTTTTCGACTCTCTTGGTGGGCGTCCTCCTGGAATTGAAGACTGAAATTTGTGGAAGAGTCTAAATTAGCCGTGAACCGTAAATCACTCAAATTAGGCCATCAGGGTGTTCGGCTCGGCACGTGGCACCGGCCACAGATGGGCAAGATGGGCAAGATACCGGGCAACGGGCATCTCCGTATGGGCTAAGATGTCTACTACACAGAGAAGTACTTCTCTGAAATAGCGACTTCAAAAACAATTTATGGTTGATTTTATAGACCTACCTAATGTATTCATCTTTCTAACTTATGCGAAAATTGTAGAAATTAAATTTTCTATCTAACTCCTACAGTCTCATTCTCGTCCGCGAGCTGATTCTTAAGTGTGGATCCTGATGGTACAGGGATTGAAGTTTCAAAAAGTTACCGTAAACATTTTTTGTGGTAAGCTACGTATTCATATCTCCCTATTTTCAAGAATGTAGTTGACGATTTTTTTATTTCTTAAAAGCTCTACAGACTTTGAAATTTTGATTATTTCTAATCTCAAATTCTAGGCATGGAACTAACTAACTTCTATAAAAGCTTTGCTATAACACTGCCAGTAACAGTAGCATAATAAGTTGTAAAGTTTTTGCTTATAAAAGCTCCTCCAAAATCCATGATGACCTAAGAAAGTTTGGTTGAGTTGGCGACCATTTTCTTTTGGACAAGCGCTGGCCCTTGTGAGTTTGAGTTTACTTTCTAAGTAGGTACCCAACATAAAATTAAAACAGAAAATTAACTATTTTGTAATTATCCGATAAAATACGTTTGGAATAGGTTGATATATACTATGTATTGCACGCAATCACTAAGCAGCAGGTTTGCAACTTAAATTATCTTTGGAGACTATATCCAGAACCCATACGATCTATGTATTATTACACATAAAACGCAGCATGATAAATAAAACTTGTAATCAGTGAGAAAACAAGCCCTTGATATCAAATCAAATGACATTTATTCATTTTATACAATTATAAATCAATAGTGCCAAAGCTATTATACAAATAAGTTATACAATAAAAAAAACTACTTAACTATAACATTTCACATTTATTTTTGGAGTTTAACTTAAAAAGAATATAGGGCTCATAACATATCCCTGTGAGACTTCTAGATGCATTTTTAGTAAATCTGAGTTTGTCTTCTGTATACAATTGTTTTTTGTAAAATACGAGAGTAGTACAAATTGATAGCGATTCTCCAAATAAGAAGTAAACCATTTATGTGCAACACCATTAATGTCCATTGTCTTGAGCTTGTTTAGGAATAAAATGTGATCTACATAGTCAAATAAATACGCCTTTGTCGTAACATAGTTTTTACATAGTTTTACAGTAGTGGTTTTGCCTATTGGGTCTGATGTTCGATAACCATAACATATTTTTTGTATATTTACCGTCTTGTGAGTAACAGTATAAGCGTAAATATATGTTTTAAGTGTTATAAGACGTTTATTTTATTTACTTTCCGAACATATATTTTGTGAGACTTAATGATTAAATAAATTTATGTTCATTTAACATTGTTCCTACATTACCATGTCCAAAACCCTGTTCTTTAATTTATAAGTGCTGTTTAAACCTACTTATTTCTCACGTGATTAACAGTTAAACATCGCAAAAAATCTCATTTGATTATAAAAATAAAATAATCTCTGATCCTGAATCCTCAAGAGTGTTTGTTGTTGTTTTTCTGGTGATAACACTTTGACCGCTGTAAAGACCCAATCTAGTGATAAGCTGGTGATAATAAGCGGTTGTTATCAGTTAAAATCCGGCGGAAGAGGGGAAATATTCACACGCTTGGCTATCGAGTCGAAACTTTAAAACAAACTTTTTTTACATTTCAAACTAAAAAAGATCGATTGTCGCTGTTGAAACTATGAAGTGTTTTTGAAGACGTTTCATACTTGTGAAGAATTTGATGGTCCGAAATAACCTAGCAAGCCCACACATGGTTGTAGCCTATACAAATATGCCTACAACTATGAGAATTACTCCCTCAGCTAAAGTCTATTTTCCAAATTAATAAAATAACACTTTTCGCTAGTTAAACCAAACTATCGTACTGTGTTTTTGAAAAATACAAATTATATGAACGTTACATACGATTTATAGGAGATTTAGGTGGTTACTATAAAAGTGTGTCGATTGTTTTAAAGTAGAAAGGTGTGATTCTGAACTAAAAATAAACGAAAAATTATTAACTTTCTTATTTTTATAAGCCATTGATGATTTAAAATTGCTTTCTACAAAATGTTTCTAGGATCATATATACAACAAACTTCAAACAAAACTATTTAAAAATATGCACGAGATTTATTTTAGTAAGTCTATTCAATTTGTACTGCTTTGTGTACTATAATGCCACAAGTTTACATTATTTCTATCACAGTGCATTTATTGTATTTTATTAAACATGTTTGTACTTAATGCAAGATTGTTTACATATTAAAAACATTGTTTGGTTCCCTGAAACATTCCAAAACAATTTACAAAATTCGTTAAATTGATATATTCACATTTACATCTTAACTTAGCAAACGGTTCACTATACAAATACAATTTACGGTAGTATTTAAGATATATGTAGCCTACATTTATGTTTTAAAACGTAATTTATTTAAAGGTCCAGAAAGATAATGGTTATCAGCCCAATACATTATTGACCATTTATATTTGCTTACGATCAATAACTTATAACTATTCTTTGTACTGCGATATTTACCAAAACAAAAATACTACGTTGTCAATGTTGTCTAGTATACATGAGCTATTTTGTAAGCATTCCCTAAACTACATTGACGACAACCTTAAAGCGTTAACTTATATATACACATATTTTGACTTAGATCATGATTATATGAGAAAACATATCACCATGAGTGATTTTTATTTAAATAATATGAAACGTAAAATATCCAAACGCGTTTTTGGCTCTAGAAAACCCTCCAACAAAATTGCATCGTAAGAACGGCTTCGTTTGTAAATTCGATTAAAAAATATATTGTAATATATATATATATATATATATATATATAGTGTAACTCAAAATTGAGCTGTAATCAACTCAAAAGAATCTCAGGACACATAAAAAAGTAAACAGCCGATAATCCCTCCTCCTCGAGACTACAATACGTTGTCAAACTCGTCAACAAAAACCATCCAAACAGGAGCTCATGTTACTAAAGCTTTAAACGGATCCGGCTTTTTGTCCTATGGGATTATCAGATACAATGAACTTATCGTCCATCGAGAATGTCACCCCTAGATATTGATATTGTAAGGGTTGCAAGGAGGGGCGAGGGTAGGCCGCCATGACAGCGACGCCATGGCGGCGACATGTTGTATAGGCACAGGATTAACGTATTGTATTATAAGTATAGCAGGGTGACCCAGCTGCATGTCAACTGACTGAATAATTATAGCCTTGGGACCTTAGATACTTAGGGGTAACGGTTGAGGGGGGGGGGAGGTGAAAACGACGCAGAAATAAAATATTGGCAAAATCATGGAAAAATCATTGTAATGAATCAACTAGAAATGAACTATGAACTAGAATTCAACTATAGAAGAATTTCATGATATAAAGAATTAGGTTTTCTACTTTTTTCAAAGCGTCGGGGATTTGAGCTATTTAAATCCACGTTAATACAGTATGATGTTTTTCCAATTTTGTTTTAACCAAATGAACACACACATTTTCCAGAGTGTTCATTATACATCCTGTTTCATAGCACGTGAAGTGGTGAAGCAATAAAAATGCATCTTCAAAAACAGTAATATTAAAATTATATGAAGCATTGTTCCGACTTCTATGGATGAAATACGAAAACCAAAAACTGTACAGTTTAAAAATACAGTAATGTCACAAACAATATAGGTATCAGATTCTAGCACATGTATTTTATAGTGAAAATGTCATAATGATACAGAAGTAAAATATTTGGCAGTAAATGGGTGGGGTCACCATATCAACTCAGGATCCGAATTATTTCGGTGCTCTAGGACATTTTCAAATTTCTTCCCATACCAATAAACTTTCAAACAAATAACTCGGTATCATGCAATGTTGGAATCCCACAACACTAAATCTTCTTTTTGTGTGATAGCACACATAATACAACATACTAGCTATATTAATTAATCACTACTTAAACGACACAGTACAAGATATTAGATGTATTTTGGATATGAAAGTATAAAGTGTTCAGCCTACCTTGCCATGTTCCTTATCAAAGTCGCACTCTCTGCCAGCAGTGCCGAGGTGGTAGCCGTTGGCAGATGGGTTGAACGCCAGCTGGAGGTTGGTGCCCGTCGCAACGAACGCCTACAAGAAAACATTTAAATTGTTCAAAACATGCAAGGAATATTTACATCTTCAGTGTCATTGGAAGTAAAGAAGCGGCAAGTCAGATTCCTTGGTGAATTTTCCTTGGATGGATTTGTTTCGTTAAGAAATTACGTCAACTTTGCAATTGTATTTGAATGATTGCATGTTCCTAAAATCTATTGCGGTGTATTTTAAATGCTTTTTGTGGCGAGATTGTTGGTCAGATTTCAGAAGTATGGACCGAAAAAATGCTCCAAAATATCTCGTCTTAAATAAATAATGGTTTTGCAACGACAAAAGGTATATAACATATTTTCTAGTAAAGAACCATTTCTTCAGAGTATTTTAACCACGCCTAAAACACATAAAAAGTAAAGTAACTTTTTTCAATCCATGGAAAATGTACACAGTTAATGAATCCTTACAGTAAAAATCAATATAACAATAACTTGAATGTTTTAGTTTTAAATGTATATGTTTGTTTATACAGTAGAACTCGTAATTACCAATACTATTCGTTTTACATAATATACAACACCACTAATATTGGTTTGGTTATATTAATAAATAATAACCTCTAAATGGATTTTGTTATAATACATATAAAAGTTAGAATCAAAATCATAATGAAAGAACTTAAAGGAACCGTTTTATCTAACTATCATAATATATAAGTAAACAATAATGAAGGAAATTAAAACTTTTAAAATAAATCTTGAAAAGTTGAGACCAGAAATCTAGTAATTTTTCCAAATAAAACTTGCTTTTTCTTAAGTACTAAAGTAATCAAAACTGTGGTGTATTTAAGAGTCTTCCGTAGTGGAAGCCATGTTGGATTTCTTCCCCTTAAGAACAATGTTAGAACATACATCATTTGTGGACACGTAACGGCGTTATTTGTTAAGATATAGCTTTGAAATTTATAATTTGTATTTTTAACATAATAGACTCTTGACTGAGGTTTTTGAATTTCGAAAATCCATTTTCATTTCCTTTCAATAATTAGCTTAATTTTAAGCTAATTAATAATCAATTATTCATTATAAAAATTAAAAACTGTGAAATAAAAAACGTCAATCTCTAGAGGACCGCAATTCCTTAAATTTAACTCCTTATCCATAATTATATGACAATTTGCTGATGAGATATTTGGACCCAAAGTTAACATTGTTGTTATGGGGAAGAAATCCAACATGGCTTCCACTACGGAAGACTCTTAAGACAGCAGCACATTTCAAGACTAAAAAAACAGTGTTCTACTTTAGTTTGTAGACTAAGATATTCTCATTGTTTATTAGTTTCCAAGAATCTAATTTGACACAACACATAAGCTAAAAAAAAGCTAAAATAAAAAAATAATAAAAAGCTAAAATACACTAAAGCTGAAGTTCACAATCACTTACAATTTCAGTGTGTCCTTCTCGGCAGCCATTTTGAAACCTAACTATTCTCTCTTCTTGCGGCCTGTCCCTGAAACCGGTGTATCGGACCTGAAACATACGGTTCATAGAATCAGAATCAGAATCAGAATCAATATTTTATTCTATTAGACATGTACATGCATTAGGATACGTCAAAAAAGTTGAATACATGCTGCAAAAACACAAGTCAAAGATAAATTACAGTACATAACAAATAAGGCATAAACAAAAAAATCAAATAGATACAAAGGTCATTTAGATGGCACAGTGAAGACTACGGTATACTTACAGAAAAAATAGATAACAAGATATAATTTAGTGAAAAAAAATACTTCATATGAAAATACTGTACATACATAGTTATTGCCACTGACGTTAGACCTGTTAGTCTCAAAAATCAATTTAGACTTTTGAACCTAGGCACAAAGAGCTCACAAAGTCAGAGCGGGGAAAAGATAAAATACGAAGAATAACTTGGATAATGTTATTGATCAGGTAAAACCAAATCCCTTTTACTGCAAACCGCATCTTCACTGGACTCCTGGTTTCTTTGATCAAATGTTATTGCCAAAGCCAATTATAGTGCTTGGCCTGTTGTCAGTATATTCTATGAAATAATTTTTTTCTAATGGAACAAACTCCCTTCCTCTACGAGAATATCAATCGGTTGACCACTCACAAGGTTTTATTTTATTTTTTGGTTGGCACGATGGCATTCCTTGTGGGGGTGAGTTTGTTACATTTATGAGACCGTGCTGATTCATGTGGTTCAATCAACTACAAGAAGTCTATGTGGATCGGGAACATGCAGTTCATCAGGCAAAACCACATCGCGTTCAACGCTTATACTAACTAGACTTACTTGGCTAACTTTCCATCACAAAAAAAAAAAAAAAAAGAAAAAAGAAAGGCAGCGAGTCAAGTTCAGTGACATTTTGAAAGATCTTTCGTTCACCTTTCTGACTGCAATTCTCGATAAATATTGTCTAATATTAATTTTGAATACAGCTTAACATTAATAAATAAAATGTTTAAATCATAATACTTTTTAACAGCATCCGTTTAAACTGGTTATATAGTAACGAGAGACGGGCCAATCGGAACAGAAAGTATATGAGTGAGTCCAAGGCAAGACTGGCCAAAATTGAAGCTATGACAGCTGATCTTGGGAGGGTGGGACGCTGAGGTGTTTTGACTGGAAGGATTAGCCCGACAATACAGCTATTTCTGAAAACAAGGAAGTGTTGAGGGTCGCAGGGCGGATCCCTAGAGGATGCCCTTTGGCACGGGTCAGGCATTAGTCATTGGTTCTGTCAAAGTCACTACTGTATGTTTCTGGTTCCTTTGGCCAGGCTAGACATCAGTCCATAATTGTTATCTCAAAGTAACTACTGTATTTCCCTAGTTTCTTTGGCACGGGTCAGGCATTAGTCATTGGTTCTGTCAAAGTCACTACTGTATGTTTCTGGTTTCTTTGGCTCGAGCTAGGCTAGTAATGTAACAAAGTCACTACTGTATGTCCCTAGTTTCTTTGGCTCGAGCTAGGCTAGTAATGTAACAAAGTCACTACTGTATGTCCCTAGTTTCTTTGGCACGGGTCAGGCATTACTCATTGGTTCTGTCAAAGTCACTACTGTATGTCCCTAGTTTCTTTGGCACGGGTCAGGCATTAGTCATTGGTTCTGTCAAAGTCACTACTGTATGTTTCTGGTTCCTTTGGCCAGGCTAGACATCAGTCCATAATTGTTATCTCAAAGTAACTACTGTATTTCCCTAGTTTCTTTGGCACGGGTCAGGCATTAGTCATTGGTTCTGTCAAAGTCACTACTGTATGTTTCTGGTTTCTTTGGCTCGAGCTAGGCTAGTAATGTAACAAAGTCACTACTGTATGTCCCTAGTTTCTTTGGCTCGAGCTAGGCTAGTAATGTAACAAAGTCACTACTGTATGTCCGTAGTTTCTTTAGCACGGGTCAGGCATTAGTCATTGGTTCTGTCAAAGTCACTACTGTATGTCCCTAGTTTCTTTGGCACGGGTCAGGCATTATTGGTTCCGTCTAAGTCATTACTGTACGTTTCTCGTTTCTTTAGTCCAGATTAGGCATTAGTCCATAGTGTTTGCTCAAAGTCACTCACTTTTGCGCTACTCCAGTTTATTTTGTGTAAGCCAAGCATTAAAGTTTAAGTCATTTATCAAAGTCAATTCTTTACGTCTCTGGTTCTTTGACATGGATCAGTCAACAGTAATTTTTATGCTGAAGTCACTACTGCACGTACTGGTTCCATTGACACATCTATATATTTAAATCCAATGTATGTTTGTTTGTTTGTCCTTTATGGACTCCAAAACCGCTTGACAGATTGTAATGATACTTTCAGGCATTATTAAGCATTATTCAAGGATGGTTTGTGTGAAGTTTGGAGCAGATCCGTCAAAAGGGCTCCGCCCCAGTGGCTCTGGAGTTTCCCATGTTAATTTTATGAGTACTCATATTTAAATGGAATTAAAGAATCCTAACAGCTGGTTCAACTAAACTACATATTTGATTCTGTGATGTTCAATAGCATTAAAAAGTTAATAGATTTACCAACAGGGTGCAGCACTATTATTTTTTTATGACAAAAGCTAATTTGCAACCAAAAGGTGAGTGAGCGTATCGAACGAACTTCAACCTGGAGGCAAGTTAGCATAGCGAACGAGCTAACCTGAGCTAAAACCTAAAGGTGAGTGAGCGTAGCGAACGAACTTCAACCAGGACGAGATTGAGCCATGCGAACGAGCTCATCTTGAAAATGAGCGAGCATTTGATATAAAACCACATCATAGGACAGGACGACGTCTGTCGGGCCAGCTAGTGTTAAATATACAAGTCTAGTGATATGTCAAAATAGCTGTTTTAAACAAGTTAAAATGAAACCTTATAAAATATTAAGTTAAAACAATTTCAATTTCATACTTGTTGACAAACAAGATCGAACTATATTGATTGGTTTCCATTCTTATGTCACTATAACATTATTACTGTCTTTTCCCCATTCCTAACAGTCATATAGTTAATCTAATTAATGTTTTCATGCATTTGTTGAAAAATAGTTTAGCCCGTATGATCAAGAAAAACTTAAAACCTAAAAGCATGACCCCTTTTGGATTAATGATAAATTAGGCCTATACACTTTTTGTGGTGTGGACAACTGTGAAATAACGCTGAACTACCTGCATGACCAATGTAAAAATAATGAAAAGTTGAGAATGGTAAAACATTAAACAGTAGGCTACTTGACAATAAATTCGAAATTCCCTAATAATAATTTTTTTTGTTAAAAACAAATTTGCATAAAACCGTGATTTACCTCACCTCCCTGGTAGGATTTCACATCGATTAAACGTTGTAGAATTTATTAACTTCTTTATTAAAACGCATTAATATGTTGGGTAGTTAATTAATAGTATTATTTATGTTATTACGACAAAAAGGCATAGATAGGTTATGTATATACTACAGGGTTATGTGACCTATGTAGATACTTAAAAAGCATTGCAAACCAATTAGCTAAATTAATTATTCAATCTTACACGCTCACAATAAAAATGTATAGCTATGTTACATGTGTTGCGAATTGACTGCATTAGCATTGCCATTCAAACGACCGTTGTAGTGATTTTATATATAAAAAATCGACCTACTTAGCAACGCCACGACTGTGTTATTGCTTGTTTGTTTGACTTGTACAGATTTCCATCACATTAGAACGGGAACTAAGCTAAACTTGTTGTTACTGTGCTGAAAAGTGTGTACAGTTTGAGAGTTGTTGGCCCGCGCACACATGCATCACACATGGGAAACCCCAGGAAGTGACAGCGCTGTGATATCACACCGTTCCCTGAACTACGCATTAGTCATGCGTAGAGAGCGGCAACAGGCGAGGCGCATACAAGCACCAGCTATGCGCAACCATCGATGTGCGCAACAGCTGTTACAATTAAGCAAACTGCATACTACCGCAGCAAACCTACATACTAAGCGATTTTTCTATTGTCGTATTAGATCTGTACAAAATATTTCCTTATATAATCACTTATTTGGAAATTTGCTACAATAGACAAAAATGATCTGGCAGAGCGTAGAAATACGCATAAGGGCTTATTCATAACCATAAACTCAAATTAAATGTCGTTTTTATAGTATAAAAAATGATAAATTTGAATTTATATTTAAATGTTTTTATTTGAGTTTAGATACGAAATTTAATGTTTGGATACGAAATGTGAGTGAAAAATATAAATCAGACGCTCCTCAAAGGTCTTAATTATTTCTTTGTCATGGATCGCTTTTAGGATTGCTATGCAGTGAATTGAAGATTAATTTTCGTAAAAGGGCACATATTGATCTCTTTTATGAAAACCCGTAAATCTCCATATTTTAATAGATTAGTTTGATTTTGATAAATGTATGTATACGTTTATGTATTTACTGATTTTCATAAAACTGCGTTGATGATATTTATTTCCAAAGTGTTTTAGATTATTGAAAGCTCAACTATCTGAATTAATAACTTTTTTAAGTGAATCTTGTACTGTATAAGAGCGTGAAGTTTTCTAATTGGTAGTTTGCAATGGTGTAATTCATGTGCATTTATTATTTGTGTAGACATCTCTACAATAGGCACCTATATGGCAGGGCTACAGATATACATGGCATCTTAAGGTATATTGATCTGCAAACAAAGGAATGTACTATGTAAAATGGTGATTACCGTGTATAAATAAATAAATTGCACACGAATCTCTGCGATCGTTTTATGAAAGTGAATTAAGCGCAAAGGCAAACTTGCATGTTTTTCATGTTAAAAGCAAATAAAGACATTACATTTCATTTATCTTTTAAATTATTTTTGCGATGTAAATATTTATTGCAACAACTTTGCTTTGGTAATATGGCAATAGGGTCTGTAAATAATTATTTTCATTGTTTATCATTGTTAATGCCTAGTACAAAACACAAACATTCACTGTTATAGCTGTCAAACTTTATTTTTGTAAATTGGTGTATTGCCGTTGGTAAATAAATAACTCAATAACTCAATAACTCAATAACTCATTTATTTAACCAAAAATAACAATTACATGCATTGGTCATGTCATTTAGCAAAACATACAGTTTCTTGACTTAAATAAGAAATAATAACTGTTCTTTTTTTTTACACTAAGGATACCTATGATCAAACAAGTTTGATAGTTTATTTTAGCCGTCAGCCAGGAACTTACGGACGCTGTAATAAGCTTTTTTTAAAAGAAAAGATTTTAGGGTTTTTTTAAATTTCAGATGGTTTGATACTGCTTTGAGGTGAGAGGGAAGATGGTTGAACATTTTTATTGCATTATATCGGAGATGGTTTTGAAAGAAGGAAGTGTGGTGTCTAGGAACTGGGAGGGTATTTGTGGATCTCAAACTATAATGATGGTCTGTTGGAGTGTTAAACTTGCCAGTGTTTTGGTGCAGAAAGGATAATGTCTTGTAGATGTAGAGACATGGGAACGTTAATATTTCGGATGATAGAAAAACTGGTTTACAAGTCTGACGTCTATTCATTGAAAAGATGGCTCTGATTGCCCTCTTTTGAAGGCGGAATAAAAATAGAGTTCTTTTGTTCTCACACCCCCAGATAGGCAAGGCGTACACGAGATGAGGGAAGATGAGACCGTAATAAGCAGAAAGAAGGACATCGGGCTTAGATAGCTTTGCAAGGGTGCGGATGGCAAATATCCCTGAACTTACCCTATTGATGACGTATTGAATGTGGTCATGGAAATTAATCTTCTCATCTAAGATCAGCCCAAGAAACGGTGTCTTCTCTATTGGGTGTACTGGAACTTCATCCAAGTGAAAACTAAAATACTTAGAAGATCGATCAGAGATATGAAAATTGAGAAGTTGAGTCTTTTGAGAGTTTATCGAAAGCAGATTATTCTCAAACCACTGAACTAGCTTGTTGGCTTCAGAGAAGGTCAATTGCTCAAGAGTCTCTACATCAGGGCTGGACAAGGAAAGGGATGTATCGTCGGCATAAAGAATGGTCCTGGCCGATTCAACACCCAAGGGAAGGTCGTTAATGAACAGGAGAAAAAGTGTAGGGCCTAAGATGGAGCCCTGGGGCACACCTCTCGAGACAGGGAGCTCAGGTGAATTGAATTTCCGCAGAAATCCATGCTCATCGACTGACGATACCCGTACACACTGCCTCCTGTCCCTCAGGTATGACCTGAACCATTCTAACGCCAAACCTCTTATCCCATAGTTATGTAATTTTTCTATTAGAAGGTCATGATTAACAGAGTCAAAAGCTCTACTCAAGTCAAAAAGCAGTCCCGTGGAACAGTTTCCTTTATCAAGAGAGCAGACTATGTCATCAATGAGGGCAAACATTGCACTCGTCGTAGATCTATCCTTCACAAATCCGTGTTGGTTTTCACATATTATATTATGTTGTTTAAAAAAATTTGTCAAACGAATTGAAACAACCTTTTCAAAAATCTTCGAGATAGCAGTCAAAATGGATATAGGCCGATAGTTATTGAGGTCTTTTTCATCACCCTTTTTATGTACTGGTCTGACTATCGAAAGTTTTAAGGCATCTGGAAAACAACCCGAGACAAAAGAGAAATTAATCAGGTGGCTAATTGGTCCAGCTAGTAGATCTGACATACTCTTTAAGATTTGTACTGAAATTTCATCTGAACCAGCAGAATTTTTGTTTTTCAGAGAGGCAATGACTTCTTTTACTTCTTCCTTTGATGTTGGATGGAGGAAGAGTGAGCCTTTAGGTCGTCCTACCAATGCCACGCTTGTTTTCAATCCATTCTCTGAGTTATTAACATTGACTTTGACAAAACTATCATTGAATCTGGAGGCAATGTGCAAGGGATCGTAAGTCGGCTCACCGTTATCATCTCTGATACACATTTCTTTAAAATCGTTTGATTTCTTTGGTCTTCTGCTATTGATGATTTGCCAGATTTCTTTCGCTTTGTTATCAGACGACTGAATTCTTTTAAATATCTCATTGGACCTCTCTTCTTTAATGACTGCACGGTATTTATATTTTAGTCGCTTATAATATTCCCGCATAAAGTGGGTGGACTCCAAGTCTTTTGTTTTCAAGTAGAGATCATTCAGTTCAGTCTTAAGCTGTAAAGCTTGTGGACTAAGAGTTATCTTCTGTACTTTCCTCTGTTTAGTCTTTTTTATGGTCTTAGGAAAAGATAAGTCAAGATAGTATTTTAACTTGTCAATGAACGTGTTGTATTTTAGATTCATTTCGTCAGAATTAAAGACATCAAGCCATTCCTCATAGGTCAGATAATATCTAAATACATTCAAATTAGCATCGTCAATCTTTCTAACTTCCTTAGACTTTATACGGTTATGGGTGGCAGGAATTGTTTCCACTATTATCGACGTAGCGTGGTGGTCTGATAATCCAGTTACTGTGACTGAACCTTTATTATTTCGTTCATTTGTGAAGATTGGATCTATAAGAGATTTAGAACCCTTAAACTCCCTTGTAAAAGATGTTATCACATTGTAAAGGTTAAAAGTTGACATCAGTGACACAAAACGTTGACTTATAAAATTGTTTTTGGAAAGGTCAATATTGAAATCTCCCAAAACAACAGTTGAGCTGTGTTTATGAACATATTGATTTAGACAAGCTGAAATCGTGTCAAAAAACTTGTCATACTCTTTGTTAGGTTAAATAAAATAATTAATTCAAAATTTCCTCTAACAATCTCAATTCACTCCATGGCTGTATGCTTGTTTCAATTACAGCCTATGGAGGGGGAAGTACATCAGCTCATAAAGAACATTTTTATCAGCAACCCCTCGAAATGTGATTCTATCAAGGGGGAGGGGCGTAACAGGGGGTCGTCCCCTACATACCAGTCGGGGGACCCTCCCCTCTTTTCCGGTTTGTTAATTATTTACAATATGATTTATAAATGGATTTTAAAGCCCGACGCGTACAAAAGGAAATTATATGCTTTTGTTGTACTACAGTAATAATGTAATGCAGGCAACTCAACAAACCTGATGAGTTCATGCTGATGTGAAAATCAAGTTGGAATTATAAATGCTGAGCTTTTTCTATTACCAGTCCGTACCAATAAATCCCTATTGTAAAATGGCGTTTGCCATGCACGTAATAAAATAAATAAATAAAATTATATTCATACTGGGGACAGGATATAGCGGGGCTTTATGCGTTTTTATGGCATCCTTACAGTAAGTTAATTATTTGTTGATGCGCGTAATAAACACTCGAAATAAACCAAAACTTAGAGATTTTTTTTGTAATAAACCAAAATTACCAACCTTAGTTAAGAATAGGCTTATTCGCAATCCGTTTTACCACATCACTGAATTTTATAACTGTGACTAAAGCACTAGTTGAGCATGTGGGGTGGTCATATTCAGGTATACCTGTACGGTTTGTGCATGCATTTTTTTCATTTTTGCCTTGACGCAAGATCTTTCACTGGGGAGATTCTTTGGTCAAAACACTTATTTATATAATCCCTTTTACTAATTGTTCACATTACTGAACAGATTGTAAAATAAAATAAAGTAAAAAAAATTGCCTTGAGATTGTTTATTTTGCATTTGTTAATTGGTTTTGATTTTTGCATGTTTTTATTTTGAGTATGTCGAACCTATTGTATACTACTTATAGCGTTTAATCATTGAATTGAAAATAAAGACTTGACTTTCTATTAGTGAAGAAATATAATTTAATATAAATTCCAAAACACTAATATTAAATTAAAATGACGAGTTTCCATACTATTTATTATTTTATGCAGATAAATAAATCTGGATTCGTGATTGGAAAAAATAGCTTGACGAATACAAGCATTCAACTTATGATGACAATACAATGTGACTCAAATTAATAAATATAACATATTACACTTATAACACCCTACCCATTACCCAATCATCACAGACACACCGACCAAGTCGCTCAGAAAATCACAACAAACCTGTTATCACAAATCTTATCAATCACAACACAAACCCACCTCACTTTCGCGACTCAATCTTCTGAACAACTCGTCCGACTCAAACTTGGCCTTCTGATCAGGAACCACCCGAGGCATCTTGAAGATGAACCGCGGTTTGGGTTGTTCGTACAGACCGATGGAATCGAACGGTAGCATGCCCGGAAGAGCTGGCGCGTCGTTCATCGACAACATGCCGAGGTAAACTGCGGTTAGGCCGGCGGTTGGTGGAGAGGGGGAAGACGAGCGCGCTGATTGGCTCTCCTCCTGGACCAATAGTAGCGACGCCCCGCCCACCACCAACCACAAGTCTGCGGTTTGCTTGGAGTTCAGAGCGCTCCGGAGCGCGTCCGTGTGCCGATGAAGACCGTGGAGTTGCCGTGTTTAAGATTTACGAGAACATTGTGGAAGATTATAAAAAACCTGGTGCTTACTGAAATTAAAAAAAAATATAATATCAGGTTTCCCTACACTTCCAAAATTAGGCCTATACGTGAATTTAAACCACTTTTGGTATTCCGGCAGCTATGGATAGATATATTTGAAAAATTCTGATAGCTTGAAAAGACAAACAATTAATTTATCCATATGACGTATAGCAAAGTGTGTTTAGTAATTTAACTTACCTATAACATTGCCTAGTGCACCTCCAGTTTTAAGGTTCAATGCTCATGTTAGTGGTTTTTTTTAACAATTTAAACTTAGGCTACAACCTTTTGCCGTATTAATAACCAATTAAAACCACCAAACCCTAACAATTAGTGTCTGAAAGGCCATTTACAAGACATAATACAATACGAAATAGACAGTTTGAAAAGAAAAACATGCAATTGATGTTGCTTGAGTACTTTTTATTATTCTATTTTTCTGGCATGTAAATATATGTGCATGTTGTGTTTTTTATGATTGAAACCGCATAATACAATTTATTTTCTGTACCAGCAACAGAGCCCGTTGTGGTTAATTAAATCCAACGGTCTCTAAGAAAATAACATTTATGAAATCCATGCACCATTTTACTCACAAATTTAATGGTACAGATAAAGCACATAGCTTTAGAAACACACACAATACATGTTGAATACCCTTGAACACTTCTACAAAGTTTACAGAAATCTCTAATTCGGTATTAAACTACAAAATTCAGAGGAAGCTTCGCCCTTTTGCAAATACCTTTCAAATGGTGAGGAAATCTACCAACGTGGAGAGTGATATTCGGAAAGAGAATAAAATTTCCTACAAATTGCTAAATGTATTTCTTGAAAATACTCAATAAAGGCAGCCTAAATTTGGCTACAAAAAGAATCTTAGAAATAGAAACTTGAATAAAGCCGTTTTTAATCTCCTCTTGTTTTTTTTCATTACAAGTTGTTAATAAAATCTAACTTTCATAATTATTTTGCTAATCAACACGAATTAGGGGTTTTTACAGCCTATTAATTGACAAAATCGATCCAGTAGAACTGTAGATTTAGTTGTTCAAAGTCTAACAAAAATATCTCGAACTTAGTATTTTCTTCGCACTATAGGCTGCTTAGCCATTTTGTAAATAACTTTTAAATGGAAGCGAAATCGAACAAAGTGGTAGGTAATATTCTGAAAGAGAATATTATATCCTACAAATTAGTACTATGAATTTCTCGAAAATACCCAAAAAAGGCAGTCATAAGTTGCCTCCAAATAAAAAATGGGAAAAACACAGTATCCAATGTATTTTTTCTGGAAAACATGTTTTATTTTTAATTTTCACCATAAATCATAATAAAAAACAAACGTTCATAATTGTTTGAAAATCTACACGTATTAAGTTTTCCAATGACCCACTAATTAATAAAATCGGTCCAGTAGAACTCTAGATTTAGTTGTACAAAGAATTTGAATTCCGAATTAACAAATAAATATATACTGTAAGTAGATGTTTCATAATCATAATGAGTAGATGTTTCTTACAGGAAAACCAATTACAGTAGGCCTACTGCCATAAATCTTTAAAAAATCTAACTTCCTTAATTGTTTGCAAATCTACAAATTGACTTATTATTGTCCATTGACCTATTATTTAATAAAATCGGTACAGTAGAAGTCTGGATTTAGTTGTACGGTTCAACGTTTAACAGTAATATCTCTAATTTAGTATTTTCTAACAACTATAAATTTGGAATCGCTTGGCTTATTTGGCAATAGTTTTCAAGCTGTCGGAAAGTCGACAAAATTGGATGTAATGTTTTGAGAGAGAATAAAATGTCCTACAAATTACTGTATTTCTTGAAAATACCTAATTAAGGCAGCCAAAAGATTGCTACAAATTGAAACTGGAAAACAGAAACTTAAAAAACAGTTTTGTAGCTTATTTGTAAATATTATTTGTAAGATTAGCCTTGAGTTGTACTTTTTTTCTTACTTAGCTAATGCAAAAATGTTTTTGTTAATTTTTAGCTGGATAAACGAATTTGAATTTGTGAGTCAAGATGAAGTGACGTTTTATTTATTGGAATAACGTAATGTGACATATCCTGCAATTTTCCACATGTTGCGAATAGTTTATTGCACCAAAATAAAGATAAATTGACTACTTTAAGTTGATTTGATGATTTGAGACAGTCTACTGCAACCAACCATTACACGCTGGGTAGGCAAGGGTAAAAATTGAAAAGTGAACTTTAAATTTGAAGGATGTCAGAACCTTAGTAATTCTTGTACATGGCCTGTTTATGTTGTGTTTGTCTAATATTTCTTGTATAAGTCATGCAAAAATTATAACTATGATAGTGGTTTGAATACCTTATTCTTGCAATCCGATTGTTGTATTCACAACTAGTTTCAACCTGCTAGGAGGTCATCATCAGGTGTGCAAAAGGATGATATTACTTCATATGATAGTGACCTCCTAGCAGGTTGAAACTAGTTGTGAAGACAACAATCGGATTGCAAGAATATGGTATTTAAACCACTTTCATAGTTATTATTCGTAATCCGGAGACTACTCACGCCGCAAAAAATTATAAGATTAATGGCTATTTGAGAAAATTGATTTGCAGTGTTCTTTGATGTCACTCCGTCAACGGTTGTGAGGGCTCTTCACATTTTATGAGCTATTAGTACATTACTTTTACCTATGGGACAAACATCATCCCATCACATCAGACCTCGATCGAGGTGCACTTTGGCCTTCAACCACTTCCCCTGAGACGACAAGTCAACGATATTGTTTTCCTTTTCAAAGTGGCAAATGGGATCATTGACTGCATCGAACTCTTGAACGAAGTGGACTTTAACGCTCCCAGAGGAACCCGATCCAGAGCTGTCTTCAGAAGGAGGTATCAGCCCACGAACTATACCCTTCACCACGGAATCTCCAGACTGCTGAGATTTAGCGAAGACGTCTGCCCACACTTGGATTTCTTTGGGCCATCACCAGCATCCTTCAGACGTGATGTCCAGAGGCTGCTCTACTGACACCTCTCCGCTCTCTATAAGTGTTGGTTATTTGGTGGTGCCTCTAAAGGGCCACATGCTGGGTGCCGGGAAGTGCTGATTCGTGTCAAGTGATGGGATTTGTGCTCTTGGAGTTCCTTGGTGGTGCCTTTAGAGGGCCAAGTGATGAAATGTCTTGTTGTCAGCATTCTATCAAAAGGTTTTTCTCCCTCCAGATCCATCCTTTTGTTATATAGTTTTGTTTTTATGTTACGTTAGCTTTTTCACAGTTTATTATATTGTTATCTATTGCCATAATCTATTATTGTTATGTATAGTAAATTTATTAATGTTAATTATTCACAATGTTGTCATTTTGATGATTACTGATTGTTATTGATGTTAATTATTCACACTTATTGTTATTGTAGTTAATTATTTACACTGTTTTCTTGTTATTGTCATTGATGTTTATTATTTACACTTTGTCTTGTTATTGTTATTGATGTTAATTATTTACACTGTTTCTTGTTATTGTTATTGATGTTAATTATTTACACTGTTTCTTGTTATTGTTACTTTTTTTCACAATGTTGTAACTGTTGCAATTTCACTCAAACTGTCCACCACCACCACCAAACTTCTTACTCATTTATTGATGTTTTCTATTGTATTATCTTGTTGCATGTAAATCTTGTCTAATGTATTGTTTTGTAAAATGGCGATTGCCGTCGGAATGAATAAATAAATAAATAAATAAATAAATAAATAAAGTCCTTAGGCTACTCTATTCTGAAAAAAGGGGAAAGTAAACTCAAACGAAAACGATCAGTGGGCATACATGTTTTAAACTGTCTTAACTAAGCAAATTACTCAATAGATAGTAGACCTACTAAATGCAAATAGCTAATGATTTCGTCTGAACACTATTTTGATGCATTATTTTAAATGTTATTGCTGCGTTCAATACAATTCTAAAAGCCTAAATTGAACTTAAAACACATTAAACATTCTGCGATCGAAAAGAAAAGAATCAGCTCAAAATGTGAAGCACTCTGAATCAAGGTTAAAATGAAATAATTTGTACAATCAACAAATAATCGTATTCTTCAGTATGACAGCTAGCTTTTTGGCACTCTTATCACCATTAAGGGCCTTTCCCGATCACAAAACACAAGGTCTCGTAGTTCCTTGGTGGTGCCTTTAAAGGACCAGTGTAAAGTGCTGAATCTTCTTTGTTGTTGGCATTCTACTAAAAGATTATTTTTCAGAGATTGTATATACTTTTGTTTCTTTTTTATGTTACGTTAGCTTCCTGTTACAGTTTATTATGTTGCCTTAGTTTATTATTGTTATAGTAAATTTATTGCTGTTAATTATTTACATGTTGTCTTTTTGTTACTATTTACACTGATTGTTATTGTTGTTAATTATTTACACTGCTGTTTTTGTTGTTATTGTTTTGTTACATTGTTTGTTGTTATTGTTATTAATTTATTCACAACGATGTCATTTTGATACTTACTGATTGTTATTATTCACACAGGTAGTTGTTGTTTTTTTTTTCAAATATTGTAACTAACTGTTGTAATTTCACGCACATTGTTCACCACCACGACCACAATTTCTTACGCTTCCGTACCATGTTTTCTTTTGTATTTTGAAATCTTGTTGCATGTATATCATGTACTCATCTCACATACTGCATCTCATGTACTGTTTTGTAAAATGGCGATTGCCGTCGAAATAAAGAAATGAAATGAAAGTGTTCACAATAAAACACTTTTCCTATTCCACAGAAT